CTGAGGAATCATTTGAGGAAGGGGATACGGCCACGAGCTGAATCGGACGGTGATTCGAAGGTAACGAAAAACCCATATCACCGAACCTTCAAATCTCGATATCTTGATTCACACTGCATAATAAGTTATGAAATAAGGTTTATTAGAACCGTTGTTAGAAGATCTATAAAGTTGTAGAAGAAATCAGAACGAAATTCGAGCTGTAGAGATGAAATTTTTGCTTCAGGACACAACGGGTATTAAAGGAAAAGATTGGGAAAAATTGCAGGGAGGAGAGGTTGAAGACGAGCGCGTGAAGGACATGCGAGGCGTGTGGGAGGCCGCGAGTGGATGTGCGACTGTACGCGGATCAGGCGCGTGAGAAAACGAACCCCCGACCTTATATTGGCGCGTGAGGGCGCGTGAGAAGGTATTTTGGCTCCCGGTTTGTCCCGTTCGACTCCTTTTGACCTGTCCTATCAAAACTGATCTATACTTATGTTGAAATCGATAAAATATAGGTCTAATAGGAAGGAATTGTGTTGAAATACTATTAAACGTACATTCAAGGGGGAAAAGAAGTTCGCAACCAAGTAAGTAGCGTATCGACCTTTGAACTAGTTCTTAACTTGTTTTACAACATGTGAGTATGTTGTTTACCTGATTAAGAGCTTAATAAGTTATGATGAACTTTGATGATATTTAGTGTTTATTGTATATTGTGACTGCTTGCCTGTGATGTAAGTGTGATATAAATGATTGTCAGAATGTTCTACGTGTTGATCATGATACATATATGGAAGCATGCAGTAACTGTGAGTATGTTATGCATGTTAATGGAAAGGTTATTACTCTAGATATGCTTATTGGTTGTTGAGCTATGGCTTATTTACTGAGTATGATAGTCTACTAATTCCCGCGGAGTTCCTGGCCAACGCGCTGTGTGCTAAGTCAGGGAGCATGAGTACTCCTGACCGTTGGTATATGAGATAAACAGGCCGCCAGAGCAATTAGTAGACGGGCCGTATTTGACCGAGAGCGAGTCTTACATACGAGTTCGAAAATTCTAGATAAGCATATTGAGAGAGAGTCAGTAACCTAGCTGGAGGTAGCTGAGATACCTCATTAACGAACAGATGACCCTAGTAAGAGAACTAGAAGTCAGTGATGAATAAAACGTAAAAACACCTGGAAAGATTAGTTATGAACCCGTGAATGATAAGCTAGCTACTTACTGAGTAATCTAATTACTCATCAGAATTATTATAACTTTTCTTTCCAGATGTAGATGCTGCAGGCCAGCCGAGGACGAGACCAGCGGGCTAGAGACTATTGGGAATCCATGTCTGGGTCTGTTATGTAATTATGTTTCCGTTGTCAAGAATTTACCTTAGTCGTTTTAAGTTTTTTTTTAAAAGTACTGTTTTTTTTTTTAAAAATTTTACTGGATGTTTTTTTTAGAAATACTTTAAATTTTATGATTGGATATCAGAGTCTCTTAATATTGTCGATGTTAACTCCTGTTAATCGCGTTGACGATAAGCGGGTGTTACAATATATATATATATATGTAAGTTGTAGTTAACCATAAAATTAGTTTAGGATTTTATTTTATTTGTTAAATTTAACTATTAGTTAATTATTTATGAAAATGGGTTATGTTATAAATTTTATACCATTATTATTTTACAATTTATATAAATTTTAATATATTTTAATATATTAAGTCGTAGGCTAAATTAATAATAATATTTCTAAACTTTCTATCATGTCTAGAAAAAAATAGGTTTCCCATCTTTCAAAGTTTTATAATATCTATAAATTTTATATTTTTGTGAGAATTTAGTATTTTAGAGAAAACTAATAATTTCAATCTTCGACTTATCATAAATATATTTTTTTGTTTCCATCTTAGACTTATCGAACAAATCACGATTATAAGACTCTCTTGAAGCTTATGGAGTTCTCGAACAAAGTACACCCTTTATTTAACACTTTTGACTACACCTTTGAGGCTCACAATTCTTTGTTCGATATTTGAGGATTCTATTGACATGGTTAAGTCTAGGCATGACTTTGATACCATGTTAGGAATCCGGACTCTCCACAATGGTCACTATTTTGTTAGGAACATTAATGAAAATTAGACTTTAGATCTAATTCTTAACATGGTAACTGAAAATGTTTGATTAAACCACCACACCCAATGGTGTGAAAGTTATCTTATTTATAATTAAATAAATTACAAGGATATGGAATGAGTAATAAACGAAAATAACAACAAATGGAAAGATACCTATGCTAAGATATTTGTCTTATAATAAAATATCAAATATGGTATATATAGTAAACTATAATTTATTACTAAATATTCTTAACATCCCACTACAAGCTGAGCGTCAGATTTGAACGAATGAAACTTGAATCTAAAAAATTCAAAGAGAGGTTGAGAAACACTTTTTGTGAAGATGTAAACAACCTGGTTCAGAGGAGGCGTAGAGAAACACTTTCTTGGCCATCGAAAACTGGAGAGGGATCGTCGCTTACCGACGATGCTATGAGAATGTTTGCTTAATCCACCACATCTAAATGGTGTGAAAGTTATCTTATTTATAATCAAATTAATTACAAGGATATGAGAAGAGTAATAAATGGAAATAACAATAAATAAAAAGATATCTACGTAAGAAGGCAAATATCAAATATGATATTTCGATTTGAGCTGCTCATAGCCCTCAAGTTCCCAAACCTAACCAAATGGATCGAAGAGTTTGTGAACCATAGCGTGGTCAAGCAGGTTATGCCTCAAAAGGATGCGCTTGTTGTCTTTCTTAAAACGGTTACGTTTAATCGAAAAAACTAGGAGGATATGAAATTGGGATAGATGAAAAGTACATCCTTTTACTTTTCAAATTTTCAATAATCCACTCTAAATGAAATAAAAAGAAGTTTATTTTTAACCTTAGGTCGAGTGGATAAGTAAGTAGTCATTTCCATGGATTGACTTGAAATAACATTAACATGAAGTTAATAGTTTACTTTCAAATATTTATTTAAAATTTATATGAGATTTAAAGAAATTAAATATATATTTAGACATTTTAAGATATTTATAGTTTTAGAATTATTATTTTTTCACTCTATGATACATTTCAGAGTATTTTCGGCTAAATGCGTTAATTCATTATTACTAACCTTTGATTTTAAATTAGATTATATTTATGAATAATTTTGTAGACTTCGTCAAAAGAGATATTCCTCGGTTGGTAGATTGCTCACCTAGTGTGCTAGAGATACGGGAATTGATGCAGGAATTCAAGATATCTATGTGATGGATTAGCTAATTAGAAGATATCTCATAGTTTTTTAATCCCATGATTATCTCGAGGTAGGGTGTGGAACGGAGATATAAACTCCATTTAATGAAAAAATGGACATGATGAGGATGTAGCTCAAATGGTAGAGTGCTCGTTTAGCATGCGAGAGTATGAGGATCGATTCTTTGCACGGTGCGTGTCTGAGTGTGATTATTCTTTCCATTATTTTGGCGAGACAAATACAATTTTGATTTCCGTAAATAACATGCTAGATGTTCATTTAAGTTTTTATGTGTGGGCATGTCGGAGAGGGTATTGGGCATGACTAAAAATCATGTGGGCTTTACCCCACGTAAGTTCAAATCCCGCCAGGCACGATCAATGCTGCTAAAAATACCTATGTTTGCCTTGCAAATGATTATGCATTCTAATTTTCGTAAAATCATATAAATACATATGTGTGGGCGTGCGGACTGGTTATCAGGCGTGAATGGAAATCACGTGGTATTTGCCCGCGCAAATTTGAATCCATATATCACTCTATAAAAACCTATGTTTGCTTTGCAAATACTATTCCTTTCTAGATTCTTTAATGTGGAGTGTGATTTTTCTTTCCATTATTTTGGCGAGATAAATGCGATTTTGATTTTCGTAAAATCTTATAAATTTACATGTGTGGGCGTGCCGGAGTGGTTATTGAGCATGACTAGAAATCATGTGTGCTTTGCCCGCATAGGTTTGAATCTTGCCGCGCTCATGATCAATGGCTGCTCTTTCTAACTTCTATAATGTGGGCATGATGAAGGGCATGCTTGAGTGTGATTATTCTTTCCATTATTTTGGCGAGACAAATGTAATTTTGATTTTCGTAAAATCATATAAATGCATATGCGTAGGCTGGAGTGATTATCGGGCATGACTAGAAATCATGTGGGCTTTGCCCCCGCAGGATTGAATCCACGATCAATGCTGAATTGTCTATCATGGATCACTATATAAATACCTATGTTTACTTCGCAAATACTGCTCTTTCCAACTTCTATAATGTGGGGCATGCTCGAGTGTGATTATTCTTTCCATTATTTTGGTGAGACAAATGCAATTTTGATTTTTGTAAAATCATATAAATTTATATGCGTGGGCGTGCTGGAGTAGTGATCGGGCATGAGTAGAAATCATGTGGTCTTTGCCCGCGTAGGTTCGAATCCTGTCGCTCACGATCCCAATATTGAAGTGCTTAACGAGGATCACTATATAGAAACCTATGTTTGCGTGTGGGTTGTGCCAGAGTGGTTATAGGGCATAATGAGGACCACTATATTAAAAACCTATGTATGCCTTGCATATACTACTCTTTCTAACTTCTATAATGTGCATAGGCGTGGGCGTGCCGGAGTAGTTATCGGGCATGACTAACAATTATTTTGGCGAGACAAATGCAATTTTGATTTTCGTAAAATTATATAAATGCATAGATGTGGGTGTGCCGGAGTGGTTATCGAGCATGATTAGAAATCATGTGGCTTTGCTCGTGCATATTCGAATCCTGCCGCTCACGATCAATGCTGAACTCTTTATTAACTATCACTATTTACATACCTCTTTCTATAATGTGGGGCATGCTCGAGTGTGATTATTCTTTCTATTATTTTGGTGAGACAAATGCAATTTTGATTTTTCGTAAAATCATTTAAATTTATATGCGTGGGCGTGTCGGAGTGGTTATCGGGCATGATTAAAAATCATGTGTGGGCTTTGCTCACCGTAGGTTCGAATCCTGCTGCTCACGATCAATGCTGAACTCTTTATTAATTATCACTAGTTAAATACCTCTTTCTAGGGCATGCTCGAGTGTGCTTATTGTTCCCATATTTGGGACAAATACGATTTTGATTTTCGTAACATCATATGGATTTATATGCGTGGGTGGAGTGGTTATCGGGCATGACATGACTAGAAATCATGTGGGTTTCGCCCGCTTTCGAAACTCCTTATCAACGATCATTATTTAAATACCTATGTTTGCAAGTGTGATTATTCTTTTCATTATTTTGGCGAGACAAATGCAATTTTGATTTTCGTAAAATCATTTAAATTTATATACGTCGGCGTGCCGAAGTGGTTATCGGGCATAATAAGAAATCATGTGGGCTTTGCTTGCATAGGTTCGAATACTGCCGCTCACGATCATGTTGAACTATTTATTAACGATCAACTGTGCATATTCTTCCCATTATTTTGGCGAGACAAATACAATTTTGATTTTCGTAACATCATATGAATTTATATGCTTGGGCGTGTGCTGGAGTGGTTATCGGGCATGACTAGAAATCATGTGAGCTTTGCCCACGCAGGTTTGAATCCTGCCCCTTACGATCAATGCTGAACTCCTTGTCAAGGATCATTATTTAAATACCTATGTTTTCTTTGCAAGTGTGATTATTCTTTCCATTATTTTGGTGAGATAAATGCAATTTTGATTTTCATAAAATCATATAAATTTATATGCGTGGGTGTGCCGTTGTGGTTATCGAGCATGACTAGAAACCATGTGGGCTTTGCTCGTGCAAGTTCGAATCTTGCTGCTCACGATCAATGTTGAACTCGTTATTAACTATCACTATTTAAATACCTCTTTCTATAATGTGGGGCACGCTCGAGTGTGCATATTCTTCCCATTATTTCTGTGAGATAAACATAATTTTGATTTTCGTAACATCATATGAATTTATATGTGTGGGTGTGCCAGAGTGGTTATCGAGCATGACTAGAAATCATGTGGGTTTTTACCGCAGGTTCGAATCCTGTCGCTCACGATCAATGCTGATCTCCTTATCAACGATAACTATTTAAATATTTAAATTTATATGTGTGGGCGTGCCGGAGTGGTTATCGGGCATGACTAGAAATCATGTGGGCTTTGCTCGCGCAGGTTCGAATCCTGCCGCTCACGATCAATGCTGAACTCTTTATTAACTATCACTATTTAAATACCTCTTTCAATAATGTTGGGCATGCTCGAGTGTTCTTATTCTTCCCATCATTTTGGCGAGACAAATACAATTTTGATTTTCGTAACATCACTTGAAACTTTGCCCGCGCAGATTCGAATCCTGCCGCTCACGATCAATGCTGAATTCCTTATTAACGATCACTATTTAAATACATATGAAGCATTGCACGTGCAGGTTTGAATCCTGCCGCTTATGATCAATGCTGAACTCCTTATTAACGATCACTATTTAAATACCTCTATTTTCTTTGCAAGTGTGATTATTCTTTCCATTATTTTGGTGAGATAAATGCAATTTTGATTTTCATAAAATCATATAAATTTATATGCGTGGGTGTGCCGTTGTGGTTATCGGGCATGACTAGAAATCATGTGGGCTTTGCTCGTGCAAGTTCGAATCTTGCTGCTCACGATCAATGTTGAACTCGTTATTAACTATCACTATTTAAATACCTCTTTCTATAATGTGGGGCACGCTCGAGTGTGCATATTCTTCCCATTATTTATATGAGATAAACATAATTTTGATTTTCGTAACATCATATGAATTTATATGTGTGGGTGTGCCGGAGTGGTTATCGGGCATGACTAGAAATCATGTGGGTTTTTACCCGCGCAGGTTCGAATCCTGTCGCTCACGATCAATGCTGATCTCCTTATCAACGATAACTATTTAAATTTATATGCGTGGGCGTGCCGAAGTGGTTATCGGGCATGACTAGAAATCATGTGGGCTTTGCTCACGCAAGTTCGAATCCTGTCGCTCACGATCAATGCTGAACTCCTTATCAACAATCACCAACGGACTAGCGATTGTGCGACACTCACTTTCCAACGACAAGTGAGCTAAGCCAATTTGTTCTTGCGACGTATGATCAAGCCTCTAGCCTCGATTTAAAAGAAGGTTTTAGAAAACGAGGTAGCATATATAACCTTGGGTACTCACTTTCCAACGACAAGTGAGCTAAACCAATTTGTTCTTGCGTCGCCTACAGCCAAGCGACGTATGATCGAGCCTCTAGCCTCAGTTTTAAAAGAATGTTTTAGAAAACGAGGTAGCATATATAACCTTAGGTTGGGAGAAGTTGACAACTAGTCATATCTCCCTATAGTACATTATGAGCCATTTTATGTCTGGCAGGCCTAGACATGATATTTTTTAGGCAGGCGTCATATGCCCTAGAACTACAAAGGAAAAATACTAGAATGAAAAGACATGACAAGGGTTTGACTTGTCATGGGCATGCGACCATAGGCAACACGCCCTAGACGAGGATGACCGTGACATCCTCCCCCACCTAATTGGTTGACGTCCCTGTCAACCGACTACTTTCAAACCTTGCCATGTGGGTGGCGGCGGAGTTCAGATCTTCGGCGCGTTCCCAGCTTGTTTCCTCTGTAGGGAGATTCTTCCATTTGACAAGAAATTCACGAATCGTCCGTACAGGTCTTTCTATCTTCCTAACCCTGTTGGCTAGGATCTCTTCTACTTCTTTTGTTTCTTTTTGCTTCAGATCGATGCTCGGTCTTGTGATTGCATTTCGTTGGTCGTCGTCTGGGTCAGGGTGGTAGGGCTTCAAGTTGCTCACATGAATTACTGGGTGGATTTTCATCCATGCGGGTAGTGCAACTCGGTAGGAGGTAGCCCCGATCTTTTTAAGGACTTCAACCGGGCCTTCATATTTTCGAACTAGTCTCTGGTTCTTTCAGTTGCGAAATCTGATCTGTTCTGGTCTCAGCTTGATGAGAACTTGATCTCCTGCTCGGAATTGAAGGAGGCGACGCTTCTTGTCCGCCCACTTTTTCATATGCTTGGAAGCCTTCTCTAAATATGCCCGGGTTATATCTGTCGTCTGCTTCCATTCTCTGGTAAAGTTGTGAGATTGAGGATTTTTTCCTGCATAAGGATGGTCAATAATATGGGGTAAGGCTGGTTGTCGTCCACTTACAATTTCGAAGGGACTTTTCCCGTAGACGAGCTTGTTTGGCAATTGAAGCAAAATTGGACGACATCTAACAGTTGTATCCAGTTCTTCTAGCGAGCATCGACGAAGTGACATAAGTATTCTTCGAGCAAGCAATTGAACTGTTGAGTCTGTCCATCGGTTTGGGGGTGATTACTCTCGAGGAGATGTTTAAGGTTGTTCCCAAGAAGGCGAATAACTCAGTCCAGAATGTCCCAATGAATTTGCCATCCCTATCACTGATGATGCTCGACGGAATGCCCCATAACTTTACAACGTATTTGAAAAATAGTTGGGCTATGAGTTCCGCCGAGCATAATTTGGGAGTGGGGATGAATGTCGCATATTTTGAGAATCGGTCTACGATAACCAAGATGACGTCATATTCCCCGAATTTTGGGAGGTGTGTTATGAAGTCCAGAGATACACTTTCCTAGGGTCTTGTTGGCACAGGTAGAGGTTGCAAGAGTCCTGAGACTTTGCCTTTTTTGACTTTGTCCTGTTGACAGATGAGGCACGTCTTCCCATTATTTTGGCTTTAACTATCACCATTTAAATACCTCTTTCTATAATGTGGTGCATGCTCGAGTGTGCTTATTCTTCCCATTATTTTGGCGAGACAAATACAATTTTGATTTTCGTAACATCATAATGAATTTATAAGCGTGGGTGTGCCGGAGTGGTTATTTTGATTTTCGTAACATCATATGAATTTATATGCGTGGGCATGCCAAAGTGTATTTAAATACCTCTTTCTAGCTTCTATAATGTGGGGCATTCTCGAGTGTGCTTATTCTTTCCATTATTTTGGCAACAAATTCAATTTTGATTTTCGTAACATCATATGAATTTATATGCGTGGGCGTACCAAAGTGGTTATTGGGCATTACTAGAAATCATGTGGGCACAATACAAATTTGATTTTCGCAAAATCATATAAATTTATACTCTTTCTACCTTCTATAATGTGGGTTATGCTCGAGTGTAATTATTCTTTCCATTATTTTGATGAGACAAATGCAAATTTGATTTTCGCAAAATCATATAAATTTATATGTCTGGTGTGTTGGATAAATTTATATACCTGATGTGTTGGAGTGGTTATCGGGAATGACTAGAGAAATCTGTGGGCTTTTTGCCCGCAAATCGAAGTGAATTTTCTAACTTCTATAATGTTGGGCATGCCCGAGTGTGATTATTCTTTCCATTATTTTGGCAAGACAAATGCAATTTTGATTTCCTTAAAATCATATAAATCTATATGCGTGGGCTTGCCGGAGTGGTTATCGAGCGTAGGTTCGAATCCTGCCGCTCACGATCAATGCTGAAGTGCTTGTCAAGGATCACTATATAAATACCTATGTTTGCTTTACAAATACTACTCTTTCTAACTTCTATAATGTTGGGCAAGCCCGAGTGTGATTATTCTTTCCATTATTTTGGCGAGACAAATGCAATTTTGATTTTCGTAAAATCATATAAATTTATATGCTTGTGCGTGTCGAAGTAGTTATCGGGCATGACTAGAAATCATGTGGGCTTTGCTCGCACAGCTTCAACCATTCCCGATGAAAAGTAGTTGTGGAAAGAACAGCTTTGAAAGACTAGCAGCTGAGGAAAGGTTCATGCTAAAGTTCTTATCCGAGGATCACTATATAGAAACCTATATTTGCTTTGCAAATACTACTCTTTTTATAATGTGGGGCATGCTCGAGTATGATTATTCATATGCATGGTCGTGCCAGAGTGGTTATATAAAATCATATGATTAGAAATCATGTAGGGATCAACACGTGCCGGAGCGGAGTGGTTATCGGGCATGACTAGAAATCATGTGGGGATCAACAAATACAATTTTGATTTTCAGAAAATCATATGACTAGAAATCATGTGGGGATCAACACGTGCCGGAGTGGTCATTGGGCATGACTAGAAATACGTGGGGATCACTGTATAAAAAACCTAACTAGCACTAACAACAATGGTCTCTCCCAAATACAATTGAATCTTAAGATGTTATTGACTTAAATGTATTTCTATATTTATTAACATGAAAACCCTTACCTTCACTTTTAAAAACTTTAAAAGAAATCCTATATATCTTTAAACAAAATTGGAAGTCCCCCGAGGAAATTACAAAATTAAGATAGAAGAAATATTGATTTCCACGTGTCAATTGTCCATCCTCATTGTGATGCCCGCGATCTTGAGCTCAAAAATACATTTTCTCCACTCTAACGATATTGTCTAATGGTTCAAATTAAGTTAGTTTAGAAAAAATGATTTAGCATCGAGACTCAATACCACAAAATTTTGGTTCAACAAACAAAATATCCAAAATAGGCACACGTTTTGACAAAGAGACTAAAAACCTAAAGTTCATCAAGACTCCTATAGCATAGATTGTGTGGCTTGGAATAATTATTACGTAGCATTTCTTCTAATTTACATTTTGTTAATGATCCAATCACAAATACAATTCTTGTCAGGCAAGTGAGAGGCAGCGTCTTTTTATACATGTCTCAAATCAACATTTAAGAAATTTGTTCATTTGTTTTATTAGTATAAAAATGAGTAAATTTTATTTCGTAATCTTATGTTTCTTAACTTTTTATTTAATCAAGTCGTTAAAATGATAGACATGCAAAAGTCATTAAACCTATACAATTTATTTTTTATTTTATTTTTTTGTTAATTTTTTTTGGTAAGTTTCTAAAGACCTTCATAATTTTTTCTTTTAGAAATTGTGAAAGGGGATGTAGTTCAAATGGTAAAATGCTTGTAATTTTAAATTAGATTGTATTTATGAGTAGTTTTTTTGGACTACGTCATAAGAAATATAGCTTAGTTGATAGATTGTTCATTTGGCATGTCAGAGGTACGGGGATTGATACCTTGTATCTCTAATTAAAGAATGACTATGTGATGGGAAACATGTTTTGGACTAGTTAAGGAATATAATCTTATTTTCTCTCCCATTACCCGCTCTATTTGAGACGGGTTAAATGGACATCTTTATCTCTAATTATTTTTTTATTTTTTGTATTAATTTAAGATTTTATTATATATTAGGTTATCGTGTACTAAAAGTATCAATTCAATATTACTAAAATTTGATTTTATTAAAAGGGGATATAGCTTAGGTAGTAAAGCACTTGTTTAGTATGGGAGAGGTATAGGAATCAATACCTTGCATTTCTATATATTTTCTATTTTGTTAATATCCACATTTGTTTTCGGGTAGGGTGAGAACCGAAATTTAAACCTCTTTGTGAATGAAAAATGGACATCTTTATCTTAAATTGTTTTTTATTCTTTGTGTAATTTAAAATTTTATTCTTTGCTATATTAAAGTAAAACGCTAAAAGTATTAATTCACTATTTCTTAAGCTTTGTTTTTTATATAAATTAGGTTTGCAACTACTCAAAAGGGGATGTGTAGTTCAGATGGTAGAGCGCTCATGCGAGAGGTACGGGGATCGATACCCAGCTTCTCCATTTCTTTTCTTATTTTCTTTCTTATTATATAAAATAAAAATTAACTTATCGAACACACATTCGTGGGCGTGCCGGAGTGGTTATCGGGCATGACTAGAAATCATGTGGGCTTTGCCCGCGCAGGTTCGAATCCTGCCGCTCACGTTTTACTTTTTTTTCTTCTTCTTCTTGATTATTA